TGACCATCAGTAAATCCAGTTCCAGAGGATTTGACTTCCACCTTTGTGGGCATTGGATGGATGGGTGTACTTACATATATGCAGGCAACCCACATACATACAAAATAAAAATAAAATAAATAACAAATACAAAATTTTAAGTTAACAAAAAAGAAATTGGAGGGCTGGCAAGATGCCTCAGCAGATAAAGATGGCTGCTCCCAAGCCTGAGGACCTGTATTCCATCCCCAGGACTCATGTGGAAGGAGTGCCAACTCCCACAGATTGTCCTCTGACTTCCCCAAGTGCGCGAGCACACATACACACACACAAACACAAACACACAAACACACACACATACACAATTAAAATGTAATAAAAAGGGGCTGGAGAGATGGCTCAGCGGTTAAGAGCACTGACTGCTCTCGAGTTCCAGCACCTACATAGCAGCTACGAACTGTCCTTAACTCCAGTTCTGGGGGAATCCAAAGCCCTCTTCTGACCTCCAAGGCATTGCACAACACAGATGCACTCCCATACATGCAGGCAATACACTTGTACACATAAAATAAAAATAATAAATAAATTTTTTATTAAAAATGTAATAAAAAATGAATGTGGGATTTGGGGCTCAGAGGTCGTGGGAGCCTAGATTCCTTCCCCTTCTAGAATCTAAGTTGCAAGTCTGCTGAGTCCAGAATCTTCCCAACCTGGGCCCCCCGCCAGTATCCTTCCTCCCTCCTCCTCCACCCCAGCTCATCCTTGGCTCTCTCCCTGTCCCCTTCTCCCTCGGGGCTCCCATAGACATGATGCAACCAGGCCAGAGCCGGCTGAGAGGTGGGAGGCAAGAGGGAGATGTAATTACAGATGCTCCTGCCTCAATTCTAGAGGAAGCTCAGAGTTGGGGCCCAGGGGACCCTAATCCAATGTGAATATGGAGCACTTGCCAGGCTCACGCAAGGCCTCCTGGGGAACAGAGCCCAGTGATCCACCTCCCGGCTCCAGGCTCCATCAGCAAAATACCCAGACTCTGAGATGGGGCAGGATCCAAAAGAGTCTGAGGAGGGACTTGGGTGGTTTTGAATTCAGTGATCCTCTGGCCAACCAGGTAAGTCAAATACACAGCTCACCTAGTCTGTGCATTCCCTAGTTTCGCGTGTGTGTGCGCATGCGTGTTTGCGTGTGTGCCTATGGTCATGCATGCAAGGGTGTGTGTGCATGTTTGGATATACACAGTGCATGTCTGTGTGCAGGGGCACATGTACATGTGTGTGCATATGGAGGCCAACTTTAGGTTTCGTTTTTTGGGATTTTTCTACCCTTTGTATTGAGACAGTGTCTCACTGGGTCCTGGGGCTTGCGAATTTGGCTAGGCTGCCTGACCAGAGAGCCCAAGGGTCTGCTGCCTCTACCTCCCCAGCACTGGGATTTCAACTGTGCTCTGCCACTCCTGACTTCTTTTTAAAAAATTTATTTTTTATTATTTTGAATTATGTGCATCTGTGTCTCTGTGTAGGAATGTGCACACAGAGACCACAGGCATGGGATTCCCCTGAAACTGGAGTTACAGACCTTGTGAACCACCTGATGTGGGTGTTGGGAACTGAACTCAGGTCCTCTGCTTGAGTAGTACTCTTAACCTCTGATCCGTTACTCCAGCCCCACTCCCAACTTTTTACCTGGATGCTGGGGATTGAACTAAGGCCCATATGTTTGTACGACAAGCACCTTACTTGACTGAGCCATCTTCCCCAAGCCCCCTCTCTAGTTTCAATGGAAACAGAATGTTTCAACCTTCTTTCCCTCCCTTCTTCCTTCCTTCCTTCTTCCTTCCTTCCTTTCTTTTTCAAGACAGGGCCTCCCTGTAGCCCCAGCTGACCTAGAATTTACTATGTAGACCAGGTTGGCCTTGACCTCACAGAGATCCACCTGCCTCTGCCTCCCAAGTGCTGGGATTAAAGGCGTGTGCCACCATGCCCATCTTTTTTTTTTTTTCTTGAAACAGGGTCTCACTATGTAACCCTGGCTGGCCTGGAACTTGATATATAGACAAGGCTGGCCTCGAATTTACAGAGATCCACCTGCCTCAGCCTCCTGAGTGCTGGGATTAAAGTCGTGTGCTATCACACCCAGCTAACATCTCCATTTCGTTCCATCATAAGTCCCTGCTGCAGCTTCCACAACAAATGGCAACTCAGGTCAGCTTCCTTAGCCAGGACTAGTCTGTACCTATTTCCTTCAAGTCAAACCATTCTCCTGGACAGAAGAGAGATGCTTCTAAGACTCAGGACGCTAAGGACACTGAGAGGCTCAGGAAACTCAGGCCATCACAAAACTCAAAAGGCCCCTCCCCAAAGTTATAAAAGCAGCGAACAGTTGCTGGGGAGAGGAGTCTCCAGTGAAGATGCCTACACATTGAACAGAGAGCTCCAGGGACACAGCTTCCATGAACTATCACCCATACTGGGCGGGCTTTTCAGAGGTGCAGCTTTCTTTGAGTTATCCTCATTCCTTTATTAAGAAACTGCAGAAACCTAACTGGTTCCCCAAGCTAAACTGGGTGGAATAATTTCTTTGGTCTGTCATTGATGCTCTTCGAACTGAACAGATATTTGCTTGTGTTGTCCAAGGAAAAGTCACACAACAAGGACATAATGAGGCATGGTGATGACATTGTCCCCAGTCAGCTACAAAGTCCAGAACCCTCGTAAAATTCCATTGAAGGCCAGGTATGTTAGCACACACCTGTAATCTCAGTACACAGTGGGGCTGATGCAGGAGGATTAAGAGTTTGAGGCCATCTTGGATCACATAGCAAGACTCTGTCTTAAAACAAAAATTTTGGGGCTAGAGAGATCGCTCAGCAGTTAAGAGCACTGACTGCTCTTGCAGAGGACCCAGGTTAGATTCCCAGTAGCCACATGGCAGCTACAAATCATCCTTAACTCCAGTTCCAGGGGAATCTGAAGCCCTCTTCTGACCTCCACAGCATTGCACGACATGGGTGCACTCACATATATGCAGGCAATAAATACACTCGTACACATAAAATAAATAAAATAATAAATAAAATATTTTTTTAAATTTCTAGGGAAATTGAACATCGGGACTTTCATGAGAAACCACTTTTATTTGACAACCAAATTGAGAACATCCTTAAACATCATCTAGGCCAAAAATAGCCTCCCAAACCACAACTGCAAGCTATATATGTACCGCACCAAAGTGTGCTGGGAAACAGGGCAGTAGTCCTCCCTCCTCTCAGTTAAAAAAACATTGCTGAGAGACTGGAAAGATGGCTCAGTGGTTAAGAGTATTAGCTGCTTTTGCAGAGGACCCAGGTTCAATTCCCAGCACCCACATAGTAGCTAAAAACTATCCATAGCTCCAGTTCCAGCGGAATCCGATGCCCTCTTCTGGCCTCTGCAGGCATTGCATGCACCCTGTGCATTTAACATACATGGAGGCATAAAATGAAAATAAATCAGGGGCTGGAGAGATGGCTCAGTGATTAAGAGCACTGGCTATGGCTGGGTATATTGGCACATGCCTTTAATCCCAGCACTTGGGAGGCAGAGCCAGGTGGATCACTGTGAGTTCAAGGTCAGTCTGGTCTACAGTCTACATAGTGAGTTCCAGGCCATCTGGGGCTACAGGGAGACTCTGCCTCAAAAAAAAAAAAAAAAAAAGAGCACTGGTTGCTTTTGCAGAGGACCCGAGTTTTATTCCTAGCACCCACATGGTAACTAACAACTGTCCATTCCATAACTCCAGTTCCAGGGGAATCTGACAGCCTCTTCTGACCTCCATGGGCACTGAATGACACAGGTGCACTTACATGCATGCAGGCAATACACTCACAAATAAAAAATAAATAAAATATTTAAAAATAAAAAAATGGAAACATCGCTGAGTGAAAGATTCTACTTTGATTTGTTCTTTCTCCTGTCATCTAACCACACCTGTCCAGGTCCCCAAGTTTCATTGCCCCATGTCCCAGGAAGATGTCCCTTCCTCCATGACCTGCATCTGGGTCATGAGCTCCTCTATCTAATGGATATCACCATCTACAGCCCCAGGAAGGTAGAACCAGAGCTATCTCTGCCACAGCGACATCCCCAGCATCACTCAGGACCATCTATCTGGTCACAGAGCAGGTATTCAGAGACCACTTGGAAAAAATGGAGGGGTGGGTGGATGGATGAAGAACAAGTTCAGTGCTTGAAACAGAAGCTAGTAGAGCCAAGGCCTGATGGATCAGGCCTGCAATCCCAGCTACTCAGGAGTCTAAGGCAGGAGGATGGAGAGTTCAAGGCTTGCCTAGGCTACAGAGTTCAAGACCAGCTCAGGCAACTTAGTGAGATCCCTCTCTAAATAAAATGTAAAGAAGGAGAGCTAGAGAGATGGATTCTCGGCTAGGAGTGCTTGCTGCTCTTGCAGAGGACCTGAGTTCAACTTCCAACACTCACATCAGACAGCTCACAACTGCCTGTAACTCCAGCACCAGGGGATTTGACACCTTCGTCTACAGGTCTCCCTAGAAACCCCAGTGAGGGACTGAGGGTATGGCTCAATGGTAGAGCACCTGCCTAGAATCCCCCAGTGAGGGACTGGGGGTGTGGCTCAGTGGTAGAGCCCCTACCTAGAATCCCCTCACTTCAGTATGCACCTATCTAGAAGTGAGGTGTCCCAACTGAGGCTACAGAGTGCCCAGTCCACAACCTCTTCAGCCCCAGCTGTGTAACTAAGTGGCTACCATAGGTTCAGTTTCTTCCGCTGTAAAATGGTTATCACACTGGTGGTCAGCAGCTCTCAAGCTGATGGAACAGTGAACGAAGTTGAAGATGGGAATGGTGGGTGCACGGTGAAGGACTAAGCGCTAAGTACTCATTTCTTGTGAGCCTGCAGTCTGCCATCCACACAGCTCACACTCCCCACGGGGTGCAGACTCCCCCAGAGGTGACACCATGCTCTGCGCATGCCTCGTGTGCCTCAGTTTCCCCCTAAAGTACAAGCACCACTACAGTCACCAAGTTTATTGGATTCATACTTTGGCAGGGGAGGGCTCAGAGCAGGATGCAAAAGAGGCGCTTGTCGCGGAAGGGATTCTCGGCGGCGGGCACAGGAGTCACCAGAGGGTCATCTTTAGCGTGGGTCTCGCAGAAAGCCAGGAGCTCGGCCGCAGCCTGCGACACCTGCAGGGTGGGGATGGAAATGCAGTTGAACCGCGCTGGGGCTCTGCTAATCCCCGAGCGCCCAAAGCTCCGCCTCTTATCATGACCACGCCCTCTCAACAGGCCGCGCCTCCAAACAGCATTCCCGCCCCCCACCTTCACAATCCCGTCCAGCCTTTTAGCCTAGTTCGACCTCCTGCTGGCCCTGCCCCGGCCCGAGCCCCATTCTTCCATCCGACCCCACCCCTTAAACAGGACTCCCATGTCCCATCCTATTCCCCCAGCGGTCTAGGCACCTTCATGCGGTCGATGTTCACCTCCAGCTTCAGCTGTTCCACCGTCTTGCGGGCCTCAGCAATCTTGGCCATGTTGTTAGACATGGCTGCAGCAGGGAAGGGGTTAAATGCCAGGCAGGAGTTGGGGACTGGGGGCTGGAACACGTCTGGATCTCGGGGTAGTAGTGGGAAGTGGCTGTATGACCCAGTAATAGAAGTAAGGGTTTGGAACTGCGTGAGAATGGGGTCCCAAAGACTGGTAGAGAGGAAGGGGGTGATGACCCAAGAAAGGGACAGGAGGATGAAGGAGGGATGCACAGATGGAGGGGGTACCGGGAGGCCAGTGGTGCGGGAGAGCGGAGGGTCAGGGAAGGAAGGATGGAGATAGGAGGCAGAGACGCAGGTGGAGGGAGGACCAGAAGGACAGGGCCACAGGTGCTTGATCAAGATCTAGGGATCCAGGTGTCCTCACCCCCTGGGGATAGAGCAGGAGCCAGGAAAGGGGGGCCCCCTCCCCAGGCCAATTAGCAGCAGCTCCAGGGAGAACTTGGAATTAAGATCGCGGCGGGAGGGGCGCAGAGGGGACCTCATTAGGGCCTCGGCAGCAGCTGCCCCCTCCGCCACCCTCAGGGACCCCACCCCCACCCCAGCTCTGGCCTCCTCAAAGGCTCCTCTGTTAATTAGCAGCCAGGGGAGGGGGTTGGGGAAGGCCATCCCAGCCAGCCCTACAGAGGGGCAGAGAGGATGGAGAGGACAAATGGAAAGGCCAAGGGAGGGACAGAGAGATAGGGAGAGACAGGCATGGGGAAGGAAAAGAGGCTGAGGATGAAGATAGATTGGGGAAAAGATGCAGGGATGAAGAAGGTAAAAAGAGGGACGGATGGAGGGAAGGCAGAGGACAGAGGGACCAAGGGAACAGGACCAGAGGGAGACAAGGGGGAGAAGGGACAGGAGGAAGGAGAAATGGACTGGTTTAGGAGGGAGATGAAGCAAGCAGAGGAGAGAGGGAGGGAAACGAGCGGAGGAGCAGAAGCACAGAGGGGCCGATGGAGATGCAAAGTGTAAAGTCATTCATTCCCTCATCCACTCCTTCATTCACTCCCAGACAGACAAATGGTGGCCACCAACCAGCTGCTGGAACCCGGACAGGAGCCTCCTACCTGTTGCGGCTCTGGGCTGGGATGGCTGGAAGTGACAGGCTGAGAGGCGGCTTCTGATCCCCTTTCCCAGCCCCGCCCCCTCTCCTGGGGTGCAGCCCCTCAGGACCCGCCTCCTCCCTCTGAGCACCACCTGCCTCCACGCCCTGTGCCCTACGTTTTTCTCTCTGGTTCCTTTTGAACTGATGTCCCATCCTCCTTTTCTCTCTCCGTTTTCTGTGTCTCTCCTCTTTTCTGTGTCTATCATGTCCTTCTTTCACAATTGCTGGAAAAGACAGTCCCTCTAGGTATGCCCTATACATGGATATATTCACTGCAGTCACACAGCCTCACACGCCGCCATACTCCTTACCTTAGCATCACCCCATCACAGTGACCCTCTCAGCAACACACAGACAAGCCACTCACACAGGTTTGCACAGTGCCTTGCTGGGTCATCCAGTAGTGCCACAGTGCTCAATGAGACACCAAAGATTTCCACATGTCACCCACTGCTGTCACTAATGATTTCTTATAGCATAGCACACCATCACCAGACACAAAGGGGGCACACTACCTCAAAGTGTCAAATATATAGTTTGTCACACACGAACCTCTTTAAAAAGCTGGGCATGGTAGCCCACACCTTTAATTCTAGCACTTGGGAGGTAGACGCAGATGGATTGCTGTGAGTTCAAGGCCAGCTTGGTCTACATAGTGAGTTCTAGGACAGCGGGGGCTACAGGAAGACCCTGTCTCAAAAAACAAAAGGTCACCCACATATACAGCCTTAGCTTTTTTTTTTTTAAAGATAGGGTCTCCCTGTAGTCCCAGCTGACCTGGAACTCACTATGTAGATGTGTAGGCCAGGCTGGCCTAGAACTGACAGAGATCTATCTGCCTCTGCCTCCTGAGTGCTGGTATTAAAGGTGTGCACCACTAGCCTGGCTCAGCCTTATCGTCTTTCAAAATCTCATTCACACTTTCTTGGAGACCCACAAAGCAACATACAGTAATGCAGTCAACCTTTCTGCCAAGCACCTGCTTGCCTGGTGAGACACAGGACCACCTGGTTTTCTGTCCATGGATGCCTGTGTGTGGCCATATTTATGCTTGGACAGTTTCCTGGTGGCACACATAATCGTAGACATTACTTTCCCCACAGAGTCACATACAATCTGTCCCTGTCATGCACACACACAAACACATATGTACATAGTGACATGTGATGGCTTGGTGTCTTACATACATAGTGACATGCAATGACTGTGTCTCACACATATACAGTGACATATGATGGCTCAGTATCTCTCACACACACAGTGACATGTGATGGCTCAACGTCACACACACACAGTGATGTGATGGCTCAGAGTCATACACACATAGTGATGTGATGGCTCAGAGTCACACAGTGACATGATGGCTCGGTGTTACTCACACACAGTCTTTCACACAATCTTTGCCGGGTCCCACAGTTTGTATCCTAAATGTTTGTCACATCTCAACACCATTTCACTTAGCCTCATTCGGCATTCTCCGACAGGCTCACGTGCACAATCATACACTTTTGCATAGACAGTCACAACCACAGACCAACCTCAGTGTCACACATGGTTATTCAGTGTCTCATGACCCATCAGTGTGTCCAACACAGTGTCACATTCACACCTGGCCACACCAGCCAGGTCCCCCTCTGTGCCTCTCTCTCACAGCACCAGCTCACACCATCACTTGGGCATCTGTCTCTCCCCTGGCCTCACTCTGCCCTGTAACACGTATGGTCTTCCTCACAGTGTCGCACACAACATCTCACTTCAACATATGGTCAGTGCCACATACAGTCTCCAAGTAGTTTATCTCTCAGACCCAATCCCACACGCGGTGACCCCCAGTCTCACGGATAATCTGTGCCCCACACGACGTCGCACACCACCTCCCAGTGTTACCCAGGGACACCACCATGTTTGGATGCTGACCCTCGCCGCCCTCAGGGCCCCGCGGTTGGCCACACGGGGGCGCCCACGAGCCGTCCACCTCTCCCACGCCAAAGCCAAAGGGGGAAGGGGACGCAGAAGCTATGGGGGCGCCTTGCAGAAGATGGAGGCCGGAGATTTGGGGAGGGAGAGGCTGTGTGAATGTGAGATATAGATGAGGGGAGGAGATGGAGAGCTAGGAAGGTAAAGGAAGTCAGGGTTCAGAGGCAGAGGACGGAAGATGGACAGAGAGACAGAGAGAGAGGATGATTGCGGAGAGATGGGGACAGGAGAAATGGGATGCACAGAGAGAGGTCACAGGAGAGAGACGCACACAGAGCAGGACAGACGGATCCAAGAGCGCAGAGCAGGAGGGCGTCTTCCACCCTGGACCACACGGCGGAGGCGGGGCATGCAGAGGGGTGTTCCCGGGGCGGGGCATCAGGGTGGGTCCCGAGGGCGGGGCTTTATGGAGGTGTGTCCTGGGGTGGAGTTCATGGGGCGTGCCTGGACATTTGTGGGGGCGTGGCCTGTTGAGGGCGCGCACCGGGGGCGGGGCTTCGCACCCTTTCCCATTCCCGCCAGCAGGGACCGCTGTGCACTGGAAGGATAATGGCGCCGCCCTGGGAGGAGGTAGAGTCCGGGAGAAGTGTCTCTGGCAGACAGCCCGACCTCCTGGACTTGAAAGCGAAATTGGCGGTACTAGGGATTGAATCTAAAGGTTTACACACACACTAGGCCAGGTCTCTACCACTGAGCTACATTCCCCCGGCCCTCTTTTTACTTTTTCATTTGGAGATAGGATCTTTGTTAAGTTGCCCAAACAGGCCTTGAACTTGCAATGCTCCAGCTTCGGCCATCCCGGGGTACTTGGGATGAGGGTTAGAGCTACCATGGTAGTTTTTGTTGTTGTTTTTGGTTTTGGTTTGGGGTTTTGTTTTTTGGTTTTTTTTGTTTTGACACAGGGTCTCCCGTAACCCCAGCTAGCCTGGAACTCACTATGGAGTCCAGGGGCGTTTCAATCGCACCGAGATCCGCCTGCCTCTGCCTCCTCCCGAGTTCTGGGATTAAAGGCATGCTGTACCACCACTCCCCGACCTCCTAATAGCTTTTGGACAGTGGGAGTTTAGGACCCTGGCTCCCTTCCCCCTCCCCTGTGGGCTCACAGAGCCAGGTTGGAAGAATAACCCGGCCCACATCTGGAAAGCATCAGGCAAGCCGGACGTGCCAGGGCCCCCGGGCCGGGGCTGCGGAAGGAGGAGGGGAGCCAAGGCGCTCCCCCCACCAGCAGAGCGGGGTCTGCCGGCGCCGAGGAGGGGCCTGGGCGTGTGCCGAGCCTGGCGCCTCCCGCAGCTGGTTTCCATCAGCAGACCGAGCCGGTAGGCCCTGAAGAGGAAACTCAGCTTACTTAAAGTGAGGAAGGCGGGGTGACAACCCAACTCCCCTCCCCACCTCCCAAACCAAGGCAAAGGCTAGACAGACTCTGCCTGGATAACCTCCAGCTCCCTACTACGCTGCAGACCTCAGCTGCCTCTCTGCCATTAAAAAAAAAAAAGTATTTATTTTGTGTGTGGGCCAGTGTATGTGTGTGAGGGGGTGTGCCCTATGCCACAGCAAGGGTGTGTGAATGGGTTCTCTACTGCTATCATGTGGGTCTCAGGGATTGAACTCAGATCCTCAGGCTTGGTAGCAAGCTCCTTTAGCAGCTGAACCATCTCATAGGCCTTACTGAGGCGTTTTGAAGCATGCCCAGAAATCTCTTTCTTCACACTTCTGCTGTCCCACCTTGGTCCAGCCAGCTCAACCTGGAATCTTCTTCTACCTACCCCACTATTTTACTGACTTTGTCACCCGGCTCCTGGCTTTTGCCTCTGCCCCTTCTCAGCCTATTCCTTGCAGAGAAGTCACAAGGGCCTTGTTTAAAACTAAGACCTGGGGGCTGGAGAAATGGCTCAGCGGTTAAGCGCACTGACTGTTCTTGCAGAGTACTGGCATTCCCAGCATCCACATGGGCGGCTACCAACCGTCCTTAACTCCAGTTCCAGGGGAATCCTAAGCCCATTTCTGACCTCCGAGGCACTGCACAACACGGGTGTACTCACATACATGCAGGCAATACACTCATACACATAAAATTTTTTTTTAAGTTAAAAAAAACAACCAACTAAGACCTGGACAGTTGTGACGGGCCTATGCCTGTAATCCCAGCACTGGGGAGGCTGAGGCTAGAAGATTGCAAGTTGGAAGATAGACTATATAGTGAGTTCCATCTCAGCCTGCCTCAAAAAGCAAAAACACTCAGGAGGCAGAAGCAGGTAGATCTCTTGAGTTCAAAGCCAGAGGCTACAGGGAGACCCTGTCTCAAAAGATCAAACAAACAAACAAATAACACAAAGGGTTGGGGATATAGCTCAGTTGGTAGAGTGTTTGCCTAGCAAACATGAAGTCCTACGGTTGGATACCACATAAACTACATGTGGTGGCATGCATCTGTAATGGGGGATTAGGCAGGGGGATTAAGAGTTCAAGGCCAGACTCAGGTACATATCAAGTCGAAGGGGAAAAAAATTAGGTAAAGGTGCTTGCTGCCAAGCCTGAACACTGAACACCTGAGTTTAATTCTTCCACCCATATGCTGGAAGACCCAACTCCTGCAAGTTGTCCTCTGACCTCTACACACGTGCTATGGCATGCATGCCCCCTTGACACAAATAAGTAAATGTAATTAAAAATGGGGGACAAGTGTAGTGGCTCACAACTTTAATTCCAGCACTCAGGAGGCAGAGGCAGGTAAATCTCTGTGAATTCCATGCCAGCCTGGTCTATTTACATAGTGAGTTCCAGGCCAGCCAGGGCTACATAATGAGACCCTGTCTTTAATTTTTTTAAAAAAATGTTTTTGATGTTTATTTCTATTTGCTTATGAATGTTTTGCCTACATGTATGTAAGTGCACTTCATGCATGCATGGCTGTTCCTTCTGCATGTTGAGTTCTCCCCCAAGATATGTGCAACCCTCACTCCCCTGTCTCTGCTGAATTATTACTCTCTTTCCTTTTTGTGGGGGATGGGGTATTGAGACAGGATCTCCCTCTGAAACTCAGGTTGGCCTGGAACTCAGCTTGTAGTCCAGTTTTGCCTCAAATCAAAGCAACTCTTCTGCCTCTATTTTCTGAGTGCTGGGATAACAGGCATGTGCCACCATGCCCCACCTGCTGTCCTCCCACGTTCTTATCAACATTAACAAACTGTACAATTTTTATATTATTATTATTATTCGGTCTTTTTGAGACAGGATCTCCCTGTAGCTCCAGCTGCCCTGGAACTCCCCATGTAGACCAAGCTGGCCTTGAACTCACAGAGATCCAACTGCCTCTGCTGTGATCCTCTGTTAGGATTACAGGTATGAGCCACCTACCCCTATCTAGAATTTTTTTTTTAATTTTAAAAATTTCTTTATTTTTATTTTATGTGTATGAGTTTTGCCTGCGTGTATGCAAGAGCACCCATGCATGCAATATCCATGGAGCCCAGAAGAGGGCGTCCAACCCCGTGTAACTGGAGTTGCAGACTACTATTAGCTGCCATGTTGGTGCTGAGAACTGAACCTGGGTCCTCTGCAAGAGTAGTCAGTG